TCCGAAGCAGCAGCTTTTTCTCCCCCCAGCTCAGGTATTTTCCCCCCATACAATGGCCCCAAGGGGAGGCACCCGCTGGGCAGGGAGAGGGATGGGTGCTGCTTTGGGGTGCATGGTGGGGGTCAGCAGTAAGCCCCCTCTGCTCAGTGATACAGAGAAGGAGACAATAAAAAAAACCCCCAAAGATGGGAAGGAGGTGGGGAGCTCACCTGCTGCAGCCCAGCCCATGGGTCACCGCTGGGCTCCTGTTTGGCTTCTAAAATCTAAAGCTGGTTTGCTAGAAGCAAAGTTTGGGAAAGGGGGGTTGTCCAGTCCCCCTCCCCAACCCCACACCCCAGTGGGACAGCAGGACGGCAGCGCCAGGAGGCCCCGGCCACGGCAGGCGCGGGTTTAGCAGAGCGAGGGCTGGTGGAAGGACAGACGGACATTCTTTCCTCACCGTAAATGGGGCAAAATGGGGCTGTGCAGGGATGCTGAGCAGCTCCGATGGCCACATGCTTGCGCCTGACCTAGCAACATCCACGTGTGCACGAGCAAACCTGGCTGTGACACCAACCTGTGACACTGTCCCAGAAGGAGGCAGGGAGGAGGTTTGCCAGCAGGGCTGGGGGGTGCCCATGTGGGGAGGGGGCTCCATCAGGGACCCTCGCCCTTCCTCTCCCTTTCGCTTTTAGGGACAGATTCTGCATTTACCGTGGCTCCTGCCAGGGCGGAAGGTCCCCCAGCCGTTCCCCCCACCGCACACATCCCGGTTTCCATTTAAAGCAGCGACTGGAAACCATTTTCTATTGGGTCCAGTTTTTCCTCAGGAGCATGTGGAACACATTAAGCTTTTCCAGGAGGGTTGAACGGGTTTTGCTTTGCGACTTGCAGAGTTTTCAAGCGCTCGGGCTGAGCGCTGGCAGCACAGCCCTGCCTGCTCGCCCCGCTGCCGCCTGTCCTGAGCCCCAGCGCTGAGCCGGGGCAGTCGGGATGGAAGGACGATGTTTGGGCTGTAACGAAAGCACAGAGATAAAAGCCAGAGTGCACAAATTTATTTACAAAAATTCAAATTACAATATAATACAGGAGCTTTTTTTACACACAGAATATTAGAATGGTTTACTACCAGAAGGTAAAGAAAAATATTTTTTTTTAAATTTTTTAATAAACCACCTATTTATTTTCAGCTATTGTTATACAAAGTTGCAGAACATGCACATCTTTACAGGGTTTCTTTCTTTTAATATAATGTTTTGCTAAGTGCAAATACTAAGTTTCTCTCTCCACCTTTAAGGCAAGTAGAACGGGACACGGCAACGAACCAGAAGAAGTACCTGTGATGGGACCAGCCTGGGCGCAGCACCTTCCCCGGTGCCTTTTAACGGACAAATGGTTCCAAGGACGGCGGGGCAGGAGGGGTAACGGGATGGAGGAGCCAGAGACCAGATCACGGATGGCTCTAGGGGTTGTGCAGTAAGTTTTGGGGTTTTAAATAAATCACCACAGAGCCAAGAGCTATCAGCAACCACAACTGCTCGAGCTCTCTCGGGTTAGAAGCCCACTGCTGGGGGCTGCTGGGCGCCATGCGCCTCCCCATCGCTGGCCAGGCACCCACCTCTCTCTCGGACACAAATAACCTCGTGGCTTTGAAGGGGACACGGGGACAGCAGGTGTATCTCCTACCTCTACCAGGCTTCTCCAGGACCACAACAGTTGCACCACGGCAGCAGATGACACTCACATCCCGACCACGATGGACCACAGACACCGACCTCCCCTCGCCACCTCTGCCCGACGCTTCTCCATCCCTCTCACTCCATCGCCGCACTTCCCTCTGCCCAGGCTTAGTTCTTGATGCCCACACAGCTCTAGACACTCACCAAAAGATCCCATTTTTTGGCCCATCTTATTTTTTTGCTACTTCTCCCAGCCATGTAGCACTGTGGGACACATCACATTTCCCTTGCTGGTTGGGTCACTGGTCCAGCTGCCTGACCCCTCCACTGCCTGAACCCCCCTTTGCACAGGCAGGGGCTGGGGGACAACCCTGGCCACCCCCCCAGGGAAAGGCACGTCCTTCAGGAAGCCTGGAGGGCTCATCCGAGCTGGCCCTTGAGCCCACAAGATCTCAGCTAGTAAAAAACCAGGATTGCCTTTCTGTAAGGAAGCGACTCGTGCTTCTTCTGACCCGGGTCCCTTTTCTCACCACCCGCTAACGCCGGGAACAGCCCTCCCTTCCCAAATCCAACAGGACACCCTGCTCTTGTCTACCGTGGGAATTGCTCGGTGCAAGGTGGGATTTAAAACCGGATAAAATCCATCCGAGAAGCAAACGGTTAGCTCCTACAGCCCCCAGGCTACTTCCAGAAATAAATTAAAATAAAAAGACGAAAATGATAGCAGCAAGGGAATACCAATTGGTTATTAATGCTAGAGAGGAGCTGGAACAGAGCACTCCACAGGGTACGTTCAACCCTTAGGCAATGCTCTAGAGTGAAGGAATTGCTGACTCAGCTCCAAAAAGCCTGGAAGTCCCCTCTGGGAGACCCTCCTGGGGACAACAGTCCCCAGATGCTGTCCTGGGCCACGGCGGAGCTGCCTTTCTCCAGGAGCATCCCCCCCAACCGCCCTGCGCCCATCGCTCGCTGTGCAACTGAGGAGATGCTGTGCTGGGGGCTGCGAGCAGGGGTTTGCCAAAAGCAGGAAATTTTACCTGAAAAACAAATAAAACCAAAAGACACCTCAATGCTCAGGGAAGGGGGGGGATAACAGGAGGGGGAGCACAGCGAACGTCCAGGCAGGACGCAGCCCAGACCAAACCACTCCGGAACAACAGCACAACTGGGCTACTAAAAGCTGGCCCAGCATTTCTAGCAGGTTGGGTTTTTTTTTCCCACTCCATTTTCTCTTCTAAAGGGGGCCTGTGTCAGACAGCAGAGCCAAGGGAAGGTTGGGTTTTTTTTTTCCACTCCATTTTCTCTTCTAAAAGGGGCCTGTGTCAGACAGCAGAGCCAAGGGCTGTGGGGAAGGGGCCTCGTGCCAACACTCCTCCTGCAGCCCAGCCACTACCCCCACCCCCCCTTTTTACAAGGAAGTTTTGCTTTTCCTAAATCCTCGCTTCCCAAGCCCAGCAAAACCCGTGTTTCCCTTTCAACGTGCTTTTCCGAAGCCAGTTGAGCAGAAACACGTATTTTCAGCAATAAGCGCCGCGGAAGCAGCCGACTTCCTGCAGCACGAGGCTGCAGCTGCCTGTCCGGCTGCGGGGGGTCCCAGCTCCCCACCGCCTGCCTGCACCCCACCAGGGGCGGTTCCGAATCTTTCTGCCACAGCACCATCACACACCACTGGCTACACACCCAACCGGGTATTTGCTCACGTGGTTTTGGCACCGAAGGGTGCAGAGGAGGGTCTGGGTGCTTCTACCGGCTGTTGGAGGACTGCTGCCAGAAGTCAGGGTAAATTTGGGATGCCAGATGAGAACAGCAAAGCAAAGGCCACGTTTTGTCCCCCTCACCTCTGGGGGACAAAACCTGAGCCCATCAAAGGGGGTAAGTTCAGCTCAGCCAAAGATCGGGGTGCCTGAGTCTGCTGCTACTTGCTGAAGCCCCGAGATCAAACACGGCTCTGGGCTTCCTACCGAGATCTCAGCAACGAGACGGCTGCTGCATCCCCTCACTCCACTTATAGAGCGAGAAATGCTAAAAGCACTAGATTTACTCAGTTTGGAACAATTTATTTCTGCTGGGAGGTGCTAGCAGGTTACAGGGATGCTGGAGGCCGTGGGAACCCCAGCTTCGTGCCTCTCCGTGGGCAGGAGGCTGGGGCAGCCAACTCCCGTTATCTGGTTCCTGACGGTCTTACTGGGATGCCAAGCCTCTCCTCCCTTCCCCCAAGACTCACTTGACTGTGCAGCAGCTGCTCTGGCCAGCAGGAAAGTAGGATTTTTGGCAAGTCCCCGAGGAACGGCTGCATCCCTGCGGCTCTGCAAAGTCTCCCTTTCCCTCCCAGCAGCTGCCTTGAGCAGGCTTTGCCAAATGGAAATATCTGGATGTCCCACACCGGGAGAGACCCTTGGAAATGCAACACGGAGCCCTGGTGCAGCACAGGTTGAAATGTTTGATGGTAAAGGTTCAGAGAAGCTCTAGAGAGGGGTGCAGTGCAGGTACGCGGGAGTCACAGCAGGTCCCCTTGCAGCTGGCTGAGGGGGGCTGGAAGGGAAGGGGGGGACGCTCCTGGCACGGCTGTGCCCTGCGGTGACTCTGCACCAAGTGCTGTTGGAACCAGGTCAGAACCGGTGTCGAGGCTGAGGGCCAAAGTGCATAGGCAAGTTGTGCTCCAGCTGAACGTTGATCTGGGGAAAATCGTAGTTCACCCTCATGTTAGGCAAGGGGGGGACGTAGGGGGCAGGGATGGGGCCGATGTTGAGGGGGATGTTGTTGTAAATGGGACGGACGGGAGGGAGTGGGAAGGGAGGGTGCACGAAGTGGTAAGGGGGCATTCGGGGCTGATGGAGGTTCTGAGGAACAGGTCTGGGGATGACTTCAATTCTCTGGATTTTCTCCATGGGCTTTTCTGCAGGCGGGCCGATCCTCTTGAAGCTGTTCTCTGCAGAGGAAGGGAAGAAAGGAACCAGTCAGCCCACAAACAAAAACTCCCCAAGCTTGGTCCATGGTCCTACAGTTACAATCAGCATCCTCCATCCCCAGCATGTTCCTTGCGCCTGCTCTCGACAGCATCACTGCTCGCCCCTTCCGTGCTCCAGGCACCATGGAGCACAGCACTAGCTTCCTCTATTGTCTGACCTCAACCCACGAGTCTTTTTTCCCTTTACCCCTTTAATTCTCTCCCCCATCCCTGGGAGGGGGGGAGTGAGAGAGCGGTTGTGTGGGGTTGGCTCCCAGCCAAGGGCAAACCCATCACACGCTCGGTGCAGCCCAGCGAAGCACAAAGCAGCCCGGCCGTGGGAAGAAGCCAACGAAGATCCAGAGACTTGTCAGTGGCTGGGATCCCTATGCTCTCTTGCCATCCTCACTGGGATCTCAAAGCATGGGCACATTACCTCCATTTTTCTTCCTTTGCTCCTCTTCAGCCTCCTTCTGAATCTCCTGGATTATCTTCTCATCATCTTCCTAGAAATCACAGGAGCAGCAAGAGTCAGCGGGTTAATTC